AAGGGATCAATAAAGTACTGTCTAAGTCTAAGTCTACAAAGTGGACCCAATGTTAGTTATCATTACATCTCTAGAGGAAAAGACAGACAGAGACCTGTTCTTCTTATAGCACCTGGTAGGTCGTTCCACCATCTTCCAGCTGTTTTTTGGGGCTTTCAAAGCTGTTTTTGGGGCTTTAAAGGCCGTTTTGTGTCTCTAAAAGATGTTTTGGGGGGTTTAAAGCAGTTTTGGGGGGCTTTACGGCTGTTTTGTGGGCTTTTATGTTTCTGTTTCTGCATTTAGACGCTTTTATCCAAAACGACTTACAAAGTAGACCCAATGTTAGTTATCATTAGATCTCTAGAGGAAAAGACAGACAGGGACCTGTTCTTCTTATAGCACCTGGTAGGTCGTTCCATCATCTTCAAGCTGTTTCTTGGGGCTTTCAAAGCTGATTTTGGAGGCTTTAAAGGCTGTTTTTTGGGGCTTTAAAGGCCCTTTTGTGTCTTTAAAAGCAGTTTTTTGGGGCTTTAAAGCTGTTTTGGGGGCATCAAGATATAGGAGCCCGCCACCTGGTAGGTTGTTCCACCATCTTCCAGCTGTTTTGGGGGTTTTAAAGGCCGTTTTTTGGGGCGTTAAAGGCCGTTTTGTGTCTTTAAAAAATGTTTTGGGGGGTTTAAAGCAGTTTTGGGGGGCTTTACAGCGTTTTTGTGGGCTCTTATGTTTTTGTTTCTGCATTTAGACGCTTTTATCCAAAGCAACTTAATATTTTTTGTATTTTTTACTTATTTATTTTTATTTTTTTGCCTAATTTAATTCTAACTTAATACTTTTTGCCCTTTAGGCTGCTGGTAACCTTAATTTCCTGAGGGAGTCTTCCCAAGGGATCAATAAAGTACTGTCTAAGTCTAAGTCTACAAAGTAGACCCAATGTTAGTTATCATTAGATCTCTAGAGGAAAAGACAGACAGGGACCTATCTTCAAGCTGTTTTTTGGGGCTTTAAAGGCCGTTTTGTGTCTTTAAAAGCAGTTTTTTTGGGCTTTAAAGCTGTTTTGGGGGCTTTTATGTTTATGTTTCTGCATTTAGATGCCTTTATCCAAAGCGACTCACTAAGAAGACACAATGTTCCAGCTATAATAAGTCTGAGAATCGGCTCTCTGGAGGAAAACCCCCAGTCAGAGTCAGTGGAGACAGGAGGAGATGGAGGGAAGCTCAGAAAGAGGAGCAGAGGGTCCAGAGGTCTGGGGAGGAGTCAGGATAGGAGATATTCTATGGTCAGCGGGGGTCTGGAGGAGTTTATGGAGACAGACAGGGACCTGCTACTCTGGTAGGCGTGGGGGGGTGGGGTCTCTCTTCTTGTGGATTCGGTTCAGTCTCTTTCACACTTATTCTGTCAGCTTTTTGGATTTTCTGCCTGTGTGGAGCTTTTGGGGGTTGTGGTGAAGCGAGTGTGAGCAGAGCCAGAGGTGAGGAGTGTGTGTGCACGAGGGCGTGTGCACGAGGGCGTGTGCACGAGGGCGCTACCTGAGCCAGCAGAGTACGCAGAGCCAGCAGACGGCCCTGAGAGGCGGCTTCATGGAGAGGAGAGCGATCCGCCCAGGAGCCTGAAAAAAAACAACACACAATCATCCGGGAGTTAGTGGCCTCAGTTTGGCCGGTTTCAAATCAAGTGGAGGAACTTTTTTCCCCACTTTTATATTCGTTTTCTATTTATTAGTAATCAATCTGTCCGTTTTTGGATCAAACTGTTGACGGAAATCCTCTCCCTTTGCTGAGGTGTGTCAACCAGTTACACACTCAGATTAAATCCACAATTTATTGTAGTACAGGGCCATTGCACATGTGTGTAGACCAATCATGCACAGGAGAGAAAAACCACCAGAGGAAGAATGGAAGCTGCTATCAAGAGCAGAAAGATTAAGTTTAAGATGATTCTGAGAGTTAAAGAAGAGAAAAACAAGCAAAAGAAGGGAAAAAAAGCTGTTATCGAGAGCAGAGAAGTGAAGTTTAAGATGATTTTTTGGAGGAAAGGAGACAAAAATAAGCAGAGGAAGAAAAAAAGAGATTATGTTTAGGCTTATTTTCCAGAGAAAAAGAAGAGAAAAACCAGCAGAGGAATAAAAAAAAGCTGTT